TTAAATTCTTTCGTTTTTGAATTAGTGTTGTACGTGTTGGTAAAGCTTGCTACTTACTTAATTTTTAACTTAAAAGGTTTGGTTCCTGGTTATTGTACGTGGAGACCATGACATATTCATATATGTATATATATTATTATTTACATTAATTCTTGGCAAATGACAATTTAAGAAGTATAATTTGGATTATGTTATAACAATACAATAAGTTTGGCTAAGAATAAAATGGAGAATTTAGAGGCATAAATGAGGATGCATGGAAAATTTATTCAATTTTTTGAGAGACTTATTAAAATTTTATTATATCTAATAGGGACTCCACAAGAAGAGATTGTAAGAAGAAAATTTTAAAAACTTGGTGATATATTAGGTAAATAAATAACATTCCCCAATAGATAGAAGTATTATTCTTTCTTTTACTTTATTTTTCATTTATTCTAAATAACTTTTCCTACCATATCTTTATGATTAAGTTGATTTAACATATATAGACATCTTGTTTACTCTTTGAATTCATTTATACAATTACTTTTATAGTATTTTATTTTTCTAAAAATATTATACATACACGAATCAAATAAATTACTAATGAAAAATTATTTGTACTTTACAAATTAAAGGACAATTTGAATTATAAGGATTTTAGACTTCATGTATGCCAGAAATGTTTTATAGGATTGAATACAAAATGCTGGTTACTAACGACAATTTTGTTAGCCTTTGGCGTGCCATGGCATACCTAGTTAGCAAGGTATATTGGAGATGTTAGCCCCATATGTCGGCCAACACATATGGAATAGAGGATGAAATTTCGTGAATATAATCCACGCTTGTTATTCATGAGCTTTATGCTTACACCTGTTTTCGTAGCTTCTAACTATGCTTGATGTTACTTACCTTCATGGACTGTGTGTCCATGCCTGTTGTTTGTTCTGTTTAAGTCCTAACAGAAAACAAGTTTTCTAAGTTATATTTTCATTCTTAATAATTGTATTTTATAATTTATTTTATATGAAAGACATATTCTTAATTTGTTAATTATGATTCTTTATTTTCTCTTTTCTATTTATGTTGCTTAATTATTAAAGCTAAACTGTGTAGTTGTTTTCCAATACCATTGATAAATAGATTAGTAACTTATTTCCTGTTTTATATGTTTATGATTATCTTATTTATTTTTGTATTACTTGAGAATGTTATTTACTGAAAAAAAAATTGGCATTCAGATCGTAAAAGTGGACCTGCTCTTCAGTAGATCTCGTGGGACTCCTTGAGACAAGAAGTATTTTGTTGCTCTGTTCTCATTGTGAATTAATATAAATATTTAAGTATTTTGGTTTTGTTCTGTAATCACTCCACGAATTGTGTAGGTAGGATCTTTAGTTAAATTATTTTGGGTTGTATATATATCTGTATTGAAGTAGAACTCCAAATGCTGCTTGGATATTCTTTTGGCAGGTTGTAGAGATTTTAGGTAGTCCAACTTGTAGGGGAAACTCTACCGAAATTTATACAACAAGCTTGAATATTTTGTTAATACTAGTAGTTGTTTAATACAAATGACAATTATTCGATAAGATTGGTTAATTAATGCATTAGAGATTATATGGATTTGGGGCTCATGAAATATGAGTTTTCTTATATTCTAGCTAATCACACTTTAAAAGTTCAAGGTGTGATAGGGAACATCTTCCCAACCAAGAATTTGAACTCTTGCAAAATCAAACTCTGAAATAAGTCCTGCAAGATACTCAACAATTCTCTGCTTCTCAATGAAGTGTTTAAAGGTAGCTGTATCATTAGGGTTTTTCAAAGTAATACACTAATAGTGGTCTAATTCTTGCTACAAGCTCTTCATAAGGGTAGAGCATACAATGATAGATTTATCGCCTTATTTTGTATTGGAAATCTTGGTTCGTATCTCATAAATTTGGGCAGCATCCTTTACCTTTGAGTAAGTTTGGTGCATTGTATCCCAAATCTCCTTAATCGAAGACAGAAACAAACACATGCAACTAACTTCAGGGGCTATAGATTGCCACAACCAAGAAATTACCATTGAGTGAGCTTCATCCCAAGCATTGAACTTGGGGTCTCCTGGCTTAGGGCTAGTCTCATGTAAATGACTAAGCTTCCCTCAACCCTTTAAAAATGTACATACTGAGACTAAGCTAGAAAGTTGGCTTCCACTAACCGATAAGCAACCAAAATACTTGACAGCTCCCCAAAAACCCCAAACAAGAAAGACCCAATACTGTCAAACTTGTTCTTTACATCGAACATGATTGAAATATGTAGAAGAGTAGATTCTGAGAAGAATGAAGGTGATTGGAGGCAAAACGGAGCTCAAATGCGCCATCACAAACTAAAAGAGACAGCACTGGATGGATTTTGTTGAGTAGCTCATGGCGGCACGCATGGCAACAGACAATGGTAGGACTTCTGGGTTCAACCAGTCGGTGGCAAGCAAAGAAGGAGGTCTAGCGTGTGTGGGCAAAAGGGTCTTAGGCAATAGTGGGTTTGACTGTTCAAAATCTTAACACAGAGACAAAAATGCAAAACTAAACCTAAACCCTAAACAAACTCTAAAGCCCATATAGGCTCTGACACCATAACAAATTTGGTAAAAAAAAAAAATACTTTTAATTATTTCTCAAATCATTTACAAGAGCTTGTTGTGATATTCATAAGAGTATATCAATATAGAGTAATAAATGCTATTTTGACCACTAACCACCAACTAATATCTATCTACTAAATGAATAAATAAATTTACACAATTTAACTACACATTTTAACACATTATAATATTATATATTCTTTTTTTAAAATATAATATTCAAAAATTAAAAATAAATAATATAAATTCAAAATTTAAGGTACAAACATATATTTTAAACTTTAAATTTAATTTTTATGGCTTATATAGGACAGGTTTAAAAGTTTGATTATTCTAAAAATATCTCATTTTTCACACTCAAATTTTATGAAGTAGAGGCTTAGAAGCCTGATTATTCTAAAGATGAGCTGCCTGTTTAAATTTAAATTTTATAAGAGTTTGAGTTTGAAAACTTAAGCATTTTTAAAGTAATTATACTTCTAAGCCTGGCTTGTTTAAGCCTTGCAAAAATGGTATGGACTTGGGGCAACCTATTTTGGCTCGTTTTTTGTTGTATTCTTAAAAAATAAAATATTTTTATTTTAAAAGTAAATTTAGATTTTAAAATATATCTTTATACTTTAAAATTTAAATTTATATTACTTATTTTTAATTTTTGAATATTATCATTTGTATTTAGAAAAAAATATAATATTATAATGTACTCTCTCTGTTAAAAAATGTAAGACATTTTTTAAAAAGTTAGATGTTAAAAAATATAAGGCATTTTTAGTCTTTCAAAGTGTAATCATTACTTTTTTTCAAAAAAATTTTCTGTTGATAGTGACTTTATATTTATTATAGGATGTTTAATAAGGATAAATATGAAAAAAAAGATTGATTTGAAAGTAGGTAACTACTTTATTGTGAGGTAATTCAGTTAAAAATGTCTTACATTTTTAAATGAAGGGGATAAAAATAATTTTTTAAAAATAAAAATTAAGTTTAAGAGTATAAGTGACTGTAAATGCTGATTGACAGCGTTCCACGAGGCAAAAAAAAAAAAAAAAACCCAACAAGAGGGTTGAATAATGACGCGTGGATGACAAAGGTACGGGGGTTTAGGATTTCAAACGTTTAATGATAAAAATAACCCAGCTTTAAATTCAAAGTATTTGCAAACCTTGTGTGATAACTTTAAGAGTAAAAGTGGCTCAAAACTTTTTTCAAATGACAAAATCATTACTAGCTTTCTTTTATGAAGAATGATAGTTATGGCAAAGTAATTTTCCTTTTTTATTAAAAGGCGTTTAATTTCAACTCCCTCGTATGCTTCCCGTCTTTTATTTTGTTTCTCGTATTCTTCCCGCCAACTCTTCTCTTCGTTCACAACAGAGAGATATTTGAGTGATACAAATAAAACAAATTATATATTCTCCAGCAATAGAGGAAAACAGGTGCTGTACATTAACACAGTCCGACGAACAAGAACTTCTTTCAACTAAGGCGTAAATAGGCTTTCATTTATCTTCAAAAGTCCAAAACTTTAACCAGGAACATTAGAGCTAGGAATCATTTAATGGCTTCAGAGTCTCTTCAATGTTAATTAAAAATAAAATGCCCAATTGGACAAGCATAAACAATAAAGCTTGGTGCATAAAAGGTCAGATAGTTCGCTTATCACAGACACTAACACACAACATAAACCTCATCACCTAATTGGACAGACAGCTCCACAAGGTCAAAAAAGAAAAAGAAAAAAAAAACTCTTGAAAACATATTGTTAGTTAAAAATATCCCAAGAATATCATATCATTACTATATATCTGAGGGTGGTGATAAACAACAGATTCTCAGAGAACATGGATGGTTGGCAATGGGGTGTTCATCTTGGATTCAAATCCAAGATATTCCATTAGAAGCCAAGAATTTGGAAAACCAGGCAATAATGTATGGATGCAGAAGACCTATAACAGACGAGTTGAATTCGAACCCCTTGTAAATTGGATTGGATTGAGAATCGAAGTGAAGATAGGTGGATGAAGCGTGCTGCTTACACATGGAATGAGCAATTAACGGCCAGTAACAGCTTAAAACCAGAAATCTCAAGCCATTGATTGGTTTTGTAAAGCCTTGATCTGCAGAGGATCCTGGAATCGGTAATGAAATAGCATTTACCTACCCACACGATCACATGTAGGTAGCATAAAACTCATTGAAAGAAAGGAAGAAAATGAACAGAATGGCTCAATTGTCTATCAATGACCACTAGATAATCCACTCACGGAAATGAGAAGAATCCATTTCAGATATTGGATGTTAGTGGCAAAAAAATTTTTACATGCCAATGAAGGACGAAGTCAATTATAAAGAGGCTAAAACATTTAATGATACATGATGATGAAGAGGTTATGATATTATAAAAAATACAGATTTCGAAAACAAAATTTGAGGAGCACAATCTCAGTCTCATTCTCTAGTGTATGTTATACACATGAACTGGAAACCAAAAGGTGCCATCATTAATCAATTTTTTACCTAACTTAACTTGGATTGTGATGAAGGATGGGTTTAGAAGCATCTACAGGTGATTGGTTTTCAGTACTCCATCTGCTGGCACTTAATGAGTTGTGTTGACTTATATCTGATTCCTTTGTGACCAAGCTAGTCATGAAGCTGCTCATATCATCAAATTGCCAGCCTGTCAAGTATCCAGGCCTTGAAGTTACAGTGCTGACTTCAATATCCCCAGAAAGCATTGCCACAACACGGGACATTGCTGGCCTTAACAATGGTGATGACTGAGTGCAGAGAAGAGATATCCCTACCATTCGATTGACTTCTTCCTCATTGAAATCTGATGATAGTCTAGGATCTACCAGTTCGACAATACAGTTGTTTTCATGCAGCTGCCAAACCTGTTGACCCAATAATCATTAATTGCATTAGCAAAATGGTAGCATTGGCCCTTTGGATTGTAACTCCACATATCCATAAAACAGTGGAGATAAACGCTAGGTGTAATGTGAACTGAATGGCAACACATTTAAGGGATGGGATGAAGTGAAGAGAACATAATTTGATAGTGAGACCACGTCAGAACTCTTTCAGATAAAGGGAACTATTCACAATCTCCAGAAGGTGAGGTAAGCGTTAATCAATACTATTACACAGTTGATATTGGGGATTTAGATAAAGTCAAAGGATCCTTGAGACAAAGCCCTTACCAGCAGTCAGGAAATTCTTCTCTAAAGTTAAAATGCACTCCCTCTGGTCCAGTTTACAATTTACTTCCGGTATGTTTACCAGAATTAAAAAAAACCTTAAATCCCATTAACTCTATTTAAAAATTCAACCATTTTTCAACTTTATCCCTATTAAATATATATACTTTAAAAGTAAAATACTCTAGCATTCAATAAGGAATAAAGATAAAGATGAACACAATAATAATTAAGGCGCCCTATAAAAAGGATTAAAATAATATTCTATCTCTGCCAAATAAATAAAATCAGAGGAGTACTTGGTATATTTTAGAAAAAAATATTTTCTTGAAACATTATCTAAAATAGGTTGAAAATAGGAAACTGTAATGACACGTAAATGGGCCAAAGCTTGCATACATTGGGCCATGAAGTTTGGACTGGAGGTGATGGAATGAATTTGAGACTTGAGGGGAAATAGCTAAATAAAGAGAAGATGTGGATTGACTTTTACCCCAAGAAAAAAACAAAAAATGTGTGGATGGACTATTGAGTAGGGGGTGGAATGAGTTCTGCTGACTCTGCTGATCCCTCCTCCTGACAATTTTCTCTCCTCTCATACATTTCTGTTCTTCATCTTCTTCAGTAATTCTTTCCTTCCCTATTTAGTGTGTGTTTCTTTCTTGTAAGTGTATCAATGGTTGTATTGAACTTTGGTTACGATGACCATGAAGAAACGCTGAGAGATTTTCAGAATCCCTACAAATAAGTGGTGGTATTTTGTAATTTTGGGAGAAAGTGTTATGGTCATTTCTATTAATTGTTCATATTAGACAGCAGCAAGAGCTTGCTGAAAGATTTATTGTCATTTAAGTCTATTTAAATAACGAAAGATGGGCAAACTTTTTTAACTAAACAAGACAACTTTCGTAAATAACAGAGAGATTGCAGGCGTAAATAATGAATGAAAACTCGAAATGTTTAAGAAATCAAACATCCTAATCCTAGGAGACAGAAGAGAGGTATTACATACCCATTCTAGAAGATACATCTTCTCTTCTTCCAAGCTTGAATCAGAGTTTGGCCTCCCACTAACTATCTCTAGGGCCAAAACACCAAAAGAAAACACATCTGCTTTCTCGGTAAGGCGCCCACGCATGGCATACTCTGGAGCAAGATAACCACTGCTAGTAGTTCAGTGTTTATCAAAAATAAAAAGTAATACATAAATTTTAAGTTAGTAAAAGAACACGGAAGTTAAGTCTAGATGACTTACATTGTCCCAGCTACATGGGTGCTTATATGGGTCATTTTATCATCATATAATTTGGCTAAACCAAAATCAGATATTTTAGGGATAAGCTCATGATCAAGCAGAATATTACTAGCTTTTACATCACGGTGCACAATACGTGGCCGAGACTCTTCATGCAAATAAGCTAAACCTCTTGCTATACCCATGCAGATATCATAGCGTGTGGGCCAATTGAGAGTTAAACAATTTCCTGCAGCATACATGTCACATATATACTAACAAAAATCAACAGGAATATTTTTACCCAAAAAAAAAAAAAATCAACAGGAATAAAAGCAAAGGCATATAAGCATCAAGACATATGCAGGCACACAAACACACTAAAGAAGTAGAAAAGATAACATTATATACCAAACAAAGCTTGATCAAGACTCCTGTTTACAAGATACTCATAAACAAGAAGTCTTTTGTTTCCTTCAATGCAACATCCAGAGAGTTTAACAAGATTACGATGTCGCACGGCAGATATAATAGCTATCTCAGCTATGAACTGGCTCTTTCCTTGATGAGATCCTACAGATAATTGTTTCACAGCAATTACTCTTCCATCATTAAGTGTTCCCTGGTATACAAAAAGGAAAGTGGTTATAGCTTTGGTTTTAGGACATGTATTCTGAAAGCATGAATAAAAATTTTTTTCTTCAAGATGACAAATCCCTAAAATTTTTTATCTAAGAAATCCTAATAAATCCCTTCAATAATGTTGAAAATGATAATGCAGTGACATGCAATGCGGCTGTAAACCCAAATTCCTTCACCTTAAAAACTGGTCCAAAACCTCCCTCTCCAAGTTTATTGCCAGGATTGAAGTCATCTGTAGCATTCTTTAACTCAGAATAGTTGAAAGTGTATGGCTTTATATCAATACCTAAAAGCTCTGCAAATTAAACAGGAATGAGGTAATGGATAGAAAAGAAAAACGTATTGGGCTTAATTTGTTTCTAACACCACATTGTTGGGGAATAATGCAATTTAGATATTGATGTCAGTATTTCTTCAATTAATTATTGTGTTTGTATTTTAGATATTCTTTATTTGTCTTTTAAAGTTATTTTTTTGCACAGGATATATGCTGGTAGCATGATTATACTTGTATTTAACATTTTACCTAATAATTGAGATATTAAAAAAATTAAGGTTGAATTTCATTTAAGGGTCAGGGATGAGACTTACTCACAAATCAAACCTAATAAAATTTGAAGCTATACTGCAAGACAAAAAGAGTAAATTGAAATTTTTTTATATAAGAAATGACCAAAATGTCCATTAATTTTTTTAGAAAAAAGAAAAAAATCACCAGTCATCTTCACCGGAACACCACCACTGACGACTGAAGCCTCACCAACGATGACAGCCATAGGACCTCCATCACTGGACCATTGCTTGTGATGACTGGAGAATTATGGAGAATTAAATTTTCTAAAGGCAACTAGGGGATTTTGAACCCATGACCCTTTGGCTCATAAAAAAAATTAAGGATCACCAAGCTATTGAACTACTTTAATCATATAATACATAAAATTATATATAATAAACCTTATTTCCAAACTTCTTAATTATTACATTACTTATTAATCGCATAACTTTACTTGTTAATTACTTAACTTTAATTGTTAAACTCGTGACTCCTTCAACTAAATTGCATTAGTTATTAGTTGCATAATTTTACTTGTTAATTCCACAACAGGACTTGTTAACTAAACTTGTTAATCTACGACTCCCTAAACTCAACTGTATTACTTATTAATTTCCCAACTTTACTTGTTAATTCTGCAATAATGCTTGTTAATTGACTATCTTTACTTGTTAAATGAACATATACAACAACAACAACAACAAGCCTTTATCCCACTAGGTGGGGTCGACTACATGAATTGCAAGACGCCATTGTGCTCTATCATTTATCAAGCTTTTAGGAATATTATTAATTAAGAGATCGCGTTCAACAACTTCCAAGAGTGTTCTCTTAGGCCTTCCTCTACCTTTCTTAATCGGATTCAAAGTTATATGTTCCACTCTTCTCACTGGTGCCTCCCTTGGTCTTCTTTGTATATGCTCAAACCATCTCAACCGATTTTCCACCATTTTTTCCTCAATAGGTGCCACCCTCACTTTTTCGCGTACGTGCTCATTTCGAATTTTATCTTTACGTGTATGTCCGCACATCCATCGTAACATTCTCATCTCTGCTACTCCAACTTTATGCTCTTGCTGTCCCGTTAGAGCCCAGCATTCACTACTATATAACATTGCCGGTCTAATAGTAGTGCGATAAAACTTTCCTTTAAATTTATTAGGCACCTTATGGTCACAAATAACTCCTTTAGCTTTTCTCCAATTAAACCACCCAGCTTGAATTCTATGTAAAATATCTCCAGTGATTTCGCCATCATTTTGAATAATGGCTCCCAAATATCTAAACTTTTCCACTTGAGGTATAATTTGATCTCCCAATTTCACTTCCAAATTATTGTCGAATAGTCCTTTACCAAATTTACAATATAAATATTCCGTCTTATTTCTACTCAGACGAAAACCTTTCGCCTCCAATATCCTCTGCAATTAACCTCTTCTCTTGTCTCTGCTATAAGAACTATATCATCCGCGAAGAGCATACATTTTGGGATTTCCTCTTGAATATGTTCAATCAAAACATTTAAAATCAAGTTGAACAAATAAGGACTCAGAGATGATCCCTGATGTAGTCCAATCTTTATAGGAAAATCCTTTGTTGGACCACTAGGCGTTCTTATACTAGTTTTTACCCCCTCATACATATCTTGTATGGCTTTAATATAAGCAATCCGTACTCCCTTTTTTTTCCAACGCTTTCCAAAGCACTTCTCTTGGTATACGGTCATAAGCTTTTTCCAAATCAATAAAAACCATTTGTAGATCTTTATCTTTACAACGATACTTTTCCATTAATTCCCTTAGTAGATAAATTGCCTCTGTAGTTGATCTACCTGGCATAAAACTAAATTGATTCTCAGAAATACTTGTCTCCAATCTCAACCTGTGCTCAGTTACTTTCTCTCACAATTTCATTGTGTGGCTCATGAGTTTAATCCCTCTATAGTTAGTACAATTCTGAATATCTCCTTTATTTTTATAAATAGGAATTAATATACTTCTCCTCCACTCATCAGGCATTTTCTTAGACCGTAAAATTACATTAAATAACTTAGTTAACCATCTCACCCCTTCTTCACCTAAACATTTTCACGCTTCAATAGATATACAATCAGGTCCGTTGGCTCTACCATTTGCCATTTTCTTAAGAGCTTCCTTTACCTTCTTATCACGTATTATTCGATAGAATGACAAATTTTGTTCTCCTTCACCAGTTACTAAATCCTCAAGTTACTAGATGAATCCTCTCCATCATTGAAAAGTTTAGAAAAGTAAGTCTCCCATCTATTTTTAATTTCATCATCTGTAACTAAAATTCTTCCCTCTTCATCCTTAATACACCTTACCTGTTCTAGATCTCTTGATTTTCTTTCCCTACTCTTGGCAATCTTATAAATATTTTGCTCTCCTTCCTCCGTCTCAAGGTTCTTATAAAATTCTTCAAAAGCTTTAGAACGAGCTTCACCCACAGCTCTCTTAGTTTCCTTCTTAGCCATACGGTACCTCTCCCAATTTTCCTCATTGTTACACAAATGTATGGCTTTAAAATAGTTCTTCTTATACTTAATTTTGTCCTGTACACTATTATTCCACCACTAAGACTCCTTATCTCTCGGACCAGAACCTTTCGATTCTCCCAAAACTACTTTTGCAACCTCCCGTATCTTTTTAGCCATATCCTGCCATATGATGTTAGCACTTCCCTGAGATTCCCAAATTCCTTTATCCAAAAAATTTCGCTTGAAAATATCTTGCTTCTCACCTTTTAATTGCCACCACCTAATCCTTGGTGTTACTGTGGAATTTTTAGAGAGGAAAAAATTGTATTGTCTCATTGCAATTCTAATGTACACATTGGTCCTATATATATACATCAAGAGAGATAAAAGCTAATAAATACTAATAAAGCCTAATTAATGAGATCCTAATAAATGCTAATAATTCTCAATAATAACATAATATTCCCACACTCCCCCTCAAGTTGGATCATAGATGCTAATCATGTCCAACTTGCTTATACAACTCTCAAATGCAGGCGTGGGTAGTCCCTTAGTTAGTACATCCGCAGCTTGTAACTTTGTAGGTAGGTATGTCAGACATACAATACCTCCTTCTACTTTCTCTCTGATAAAATGTCTATCCACTTCAACATGTTTAGATCTCTCATGCTGTACAGGATTCAATGCCATGCTTATAGCAGCCTTATTATCACAATACAATTTCATTGGTGGATCAACTCTGACTTCTATTTCTTCCATGACCCTTCTTATCCATAGTTCTTCTGTAATTCCTTGAGCTAATGCTCTCAATTCTGATTCAGCACTGCTTCTGGATACAACTCTTTGCTTTTGACTTTTCCAGGTTACTAAGTTTCCCCACACAAATGAACAATAGCTAGAGGTAGATCTCCTGTCTCCATAAGTCCCCCCCAGTCTGCATCAATGTAAATCTCAATTGTCCTTTGATCATGCTTCTTGAATAACAATCCCTTACCAGGTGTACCCTTAAGGTATCTGAGAATCCTATATACAGCTTCCAGGTGTCTCTTCCTTGGATCACACATGTATTGACTTACTACACTGACAGCAAAAGCAATATCTGGCCTCGTATGGGATAAATAAATCAGCTTCCCAACCAGTCTTTGATATCTGTCTTTATCAATGGTTTCTTCTTTCTCCTTGTCTTCTTCTTCTTCAACTTCATTATCAGAGTTGTCTTCTCCTTCTAACTCCTCAGTGCCGCTTTTCTTAGGTGGCCTCTTCTTTTTCAAGATCACAATAGGAGTTTCCTTAGGTTTACAACCCAACATGCCAGTTTCCTTGAGAAGATCAAGTATATACTTCCTCTGAGATACATATATTCCTCGTTTTAACCTAGCAACTTCCATCCCAAGAAAATATTTCAAGTTCCCAAGATCCTTAACTTCAAATTCCTTACTAAGGATAGTTTTTATCCTTGCTATTTCATCAACATGATCTCCTGTAAGGATTATATCATCAACGTACACAATGAGGATGCACTTCTTAGCTCCCTCAGCCTTAACAAACATCGTATGATCTGACAATCCTTGCTTGTAGCCTTCTAACTTCAGGACCTTTGAGAATCTGTCAAACCATGCTCTAGGTGACGGTTTCAAGCCATACAGTGATTTTTTCAGCCGACATACTTTGTCATTTCTGTCTCTATCAAACCCAGAAGGTAAAGTCATGTAGACTTCTTCCTTCAATTCTCCATTTAAAAAAGCATTTTTGATATCTAGTTGATGAAGACGCCATTCAAGGTTAGCTGCCACTGACAATAAGATTCTTATAGTGTTCAGTTTTGCCACTGGCGCAAACGTCTCTTTGTAGTCTATGCCATAAGTCTGGGTGAAACCTCTTGCTACTAACCTTGCTTTCAACTTGTCAAGTGTGCTATCAGCCTTATACTTTGGGGTAAAGACCCACTTGCAACTAACTAGTTTCTTACCTCTAGGTCTTTCAACAATCTCCCATGTTTCATTTTTCTCCAAAGCTTTCATTTCCTCCATAACTGCATTTCTCCATTATGGTATTTCCAATGCTTCTTGGATGTCATTAGGAATAACAACTTTATCCAAATTAGTGATGAAGGCTCGGTAACCAGGAGAGAGAGCCTTGTAGGACACATGCTTCTGAATCGGATGCAAAGTACAAGACCGAGGTTGTTTCCGAAGGGCAATAGGTAGATCAAGATCAGTAGATTCACATCTTTGTTCTGAGTCATCTGGCTTACTAGATGGATCAATCTTTGGTACGTCAGCTTCAAGGACTACCTCTGGTTCTGACTCTCTTGATGCCTCAGGTACAAGTTGCTTACTATCTTTTGTTTTCTTCTTTCGAGTGTAAACTAACAACTCCCCCTTTTGTGGTCTTTCCACATCTTTCTCTATTTTCTTGTTTTCCTCAAACTTTGGCATAAGAGAAGAGGTTGGTGAAGGTGGCATGTTGGACAAAGGTAAGGGTGATGGTTCTAGTAAAGGAGACACGGACTCAAGAAGTATATATTCAGCGTTAGGTTCTAGTTCCCAAGTCTGAGATTCACATATATTCTCCCCTGAATTGAGGAATTGGAATAAAAAGGAGTTTCTTCATGGAAAGTAACATCAAGGCTTACAAGGATGCGTTTAGAAACAGGATCAAAGCACTTATATCCTCTTTGAGTAGGAGAATAGCCAAGGAAGATACACTTGATAGCTCGAGGTTCAAGTTTACTGCTTTGGTGGATATGAACAAAGGTTGTGCACCCAAACACACGAAGCGGAAGTTTGGTTTCAATGTGGGATGTAGGAAAAACACTCTGCAATTTTTGGAGAGGAGTTTCGAAGGCTAATATTCGACTGGGCATCCGGTTGATGAGATAGGTTGCGGTTAAAATGGCATCTCCCCAATAAAACTTTGGCACGTTGCAAGTGAACATGAGTGCTCTTGCAACTTCAAGGATATGTCTATTTTTTCTTTCTGTGACCCCATTTTGTTGGGGTGTATGGGCACACGTACTGGTATGGATAATCCCATGCATTTGGAGAAAATTACTCAAAGATTGGTTGAAGTATTCAGTGCCATTATCGGTGTGTAAAACTTGAATGCTAGTGTTGAATTGGTTTTGATCATGGTGAAAAAACTCATGAATGTGGATGCAGCCTCGGACTTATTTTTCAAAAGGTAAACCCAACAAACATGAGTGTGGTCATCAATGAAGGAGATGAACCATTTTGTTTGAGTACGGTTTGAAGTGCGAGATGGTCCCCACAAATCACTGTGGATGGTTGTGAAAGGTTTGGTAGGTGTGTATTTGGCTCTAGGAAAGGAAGTTCGATGGTGTTTGGCAAGTTCACATACCTCACACTGGATTTCACTATGATTCAAGGTCGGGCATAAGTTTGGAAACAACCGCTGAAGGTAATGTAAATTGGGATGACCCATTCTCTTATGCCATAACATAAAATCATGAACTTTAGAGGTAGATGCAGAATTACCAACAATAGGTGGGTTATCTACTTGAGTGACGACCTCTAAATAGTAGAGCCCCTCATATTCTTTGGCATTGCCGATTGTCGCACCAGATGATAGATCCTGAAACACACAATGTGACGGGAGAAATTTAGCAAAACAATTTGAGTGCCTGGTCAGTTGACTGATTGAAAGTAAATTACAGTCAAGTTTTGGCACGTGAAGGACAGATTCCAAAGTAATAGAATCTGATATACGGATACTCCCTTTTCCTGCCACCGGTGCTAAGGAGCCGTCTGCAATTTTCACTTTAATATTTCCAGCACATGGGGTGTAAGTGGTGAACAATTGATGACAATTAGTCATATGATCAGATGCCCCGGAATCCACGATCCAGACCACTGCTCTTCGAGTCGTCTTTAAAGCTTGAAGGAAAGACCCTCTTTTTGCCACAAATGCCATGGGTGCAGATCTGGAATTATGCACAACACTACATAAAAGTAGCCACAGTACCACCCCTAGCACTTCAAATGAGGAAAAAGCTTTTTGGTAGACTGAAAACAGAAGCCACAACCCAATATAACTCCAAATCCAGCAAAACAGGGCACTAACAACACCATACGACCTGATATGGTTCGAAAACGATGTGCCCATACACCGGATTGTGCTGGATCTTGCCGGAGAGAGTGCGTCGTTGCCGTCCGAGAAGATCGCGTCCTGAACGGAGCCTCCACGTGCCGCTGAAAGTTTACTGACGCAGTGAGCAGGGGTGGCGCGTGTGGTCTACAAGCGCCGCCGTTCGCCGCCGCCGCCGCCCTGGGTTTCGCCATTCGGAGCCTCCTGAGTACGTCTAGGGTGGTGGTGAGATTCAAAACTCGCTCCACCATTGTCCACACAAACACCGTCACGTACTGTTCAGGCAGCCCCATTCTAGCCATTCCAGAACTAATTTAATTTGAAATTTTGAGCCTGATGCTCTGATACCATGTGGAATTTTTAGAGAGGAAAAAATTGTATTGTCTCATTGCAATTCTAATGTACACATTGGTCCTATATATATACATCAAGAGAGATAAAAGCTAATAAATACTAATAAAGCCTAATTAATGAGATCCTAATAAATGCTAATAATTCTCAATAATAACATAATATTCCCACAGTTACTACTTGTCGACGTTTTTGGATTTTACTCATAATACACACATCAAGGACTAGGACCCTATGTTATGTCGTTACAGCATCTCCGGGGATCACCTTACAATTTTTACAAAGTCTTCTATCTGTGTTTCCTAACCAAAAGAAAATCAATCTGTGACCTTGAGGCTCCACTTTTGTAAGTGATGAGATGCTCATCTCTCTTCTTGAAACAAGTGTTGGCAATCTTAAAATCATACGCCAATGAGAAATCAAGAAGAGTTTGTCCTTCATTGTTTAGCTCTCCAAAACCAAAACCACCATGCACCCTCGCATACTGACCAGCTTCCCTCCCGACATGCCCATTAAAGTCTCCTCCAATAAAAATCTTTTCACTCTGTGGTATGTGTCGAATCAACCCCTCCAGATCCTCCCAAATAATTCCTTAAGACTGGCTTCTGTCCCGACTTGCGGCGCATAAGCGCTAACAATATTAACAGTCTCACGTCCAATTATCATTTTTAAGGAAATAATTCTATCTCCAATTCTGCTAACTTCTACAACATTCTTCTTCCACTCCTTATCTATAATGATGCCTACTCCATTGCATGCACTTACTTTCCTGTATACCAAAGTTTGAAACCTTGAATATCCTTAGCTTCTTCTCCACGCCATTTTGTTTCTTGCAGGCAAAGGATATTAATTTTCCTTTGAATCATAACCCCTACAATCTCTATAGATTTACAATTTAATGTCCCAACATTCCAAGTACCAAATCTAATTTTGCTCTTATGGACTAACTTCTTTAGCCGCGTGCGTCCAGAATGACGCGGTAGCCCTTGCTCATTTAACACTACATCCGGGCGCCGATGCAGCGGCTCTAACTCACTTATCACTGTACTTGAGCCATGCAGCGCGTTACTTACGGGCAACGACCTAGCATTAACATTATAACGTCTATTGTCCATGTCCATGATAGATTCAACAAAGTTTTACATTGGCTGTTGATGGCCTAACACAACCCTCCTCCTTTACCCGGGTTTGGGACCGACTATAAACATAGGCGGAGTTGTTAAATGAACATATAGTTTACATAAAAATTAAATTTTTCAGATAATGAAAGTGATGATAGTCGAGTCTCCCTTATTAGTTTTCAACAAATTGGATACTTAATTTCATATATATATAGAGAGAGAGAGAGAGAACAATACCTTGAAAAAAAAAATATAACATGAATAAGTAAAATTAAAGAAATCACAGTTATATTAGGCATTTAATAGGTCCACTTCTTGTCATAATAATCAAGAGGTTTGGAAACAAGGTTTATTATATATATAATGTTGAGGGAGTCACAAATTTAACAAGTAAAGTTAAATAATTAACAAGTAAAGTTACACAATTAATAAGTAATGCAATTCAATTCAGGGAGTCATAGATTTAGCAAGTAAGGTTAAGTAATTAACAAGTTTTGTTGAGGAATTAATGGGTAAAGTTACACAATTAAGAAATAATGCAGTTCAATCGAAGAAGTCACGGATTTAACAAGTAAAGTTAAGTAATTAACAAGTCCTGTTAAGAAATTAACAAATAAAGTTATGTAATTAACAAATAATGTAATTCAATTGAGGGAGTCATGAATTTAACAAGTAAAGTTAAATAATTGACAAGTCCTGTTGAAAAATTAACAAGTAAAATTACGTGATTAACAAGTAATGCAATTCAGTTGAGAGAGTCATGGATTTAACAAATTAAGTAATTAACAAGTCCTGTTGAAGAATTAACAAGTAAAGTTACATGATTAACAAATAATGTAGTAATCAAGAGGTTTGAAAACAAGGTTTATTATATATACAATTTTATGCATTATATAATTAAAGGGTCTCAATGGCTTGGTGGTCCTTAGCTTTTTAGTGAGTCAAGAGTCATGAGTTCAAACCCCTCCTAGCCACCTTTGGAGAATTTTGTTTTCCATAATTGTCCGATCATCACAAGCTGAAGCTTTGGCGACGGAGGTCCAGTGACTATCGTCGCTAGTGAGGCTCCAGTCACCTGTAGTGGTATTTCAGTGATGGTGGCTAGTGGTTTTTTTCTTTATTCTTTTTAAATAAATGAAGGTTATTTTGATCATTTCCCATAAAAAAATTTCAATTTAGTCTTTTGGTCTTGCAGTGTAGTTTCAAATTTTGTTGGGTCTGATTTGCAAATAAGTCTCATCCTTGGTCTTTAAATGAAATTCCCCCTTAAATTAAACATATATTACTTTGATTACAACAGGTTTGACCAAGGTTCTACTATGATCAAACCAATGAATTTTCCGCCAGTTCAATAGACAGCCCAATTTTTAATACCTAGGAGAAGAGACATATAAAAACAGAATCTTTTTTACCTTCACTATCTCCATGATGCTTTCTTTTCTGAATGATACAGAAAACGACAAGGACAGACAGAAAGCCTACAACTCCAATACCAACAACAAGTCCCACTATCAAACCTGTTCTGTTCCTTTTACTGGTTGGAGGATTGTCAATTTCACTGGCAGGAGGTTTGTCATTTTCACTGTTAGGAGGTTTATTGCTGACAGTGGGAGTGAAATCTACATATACAACACATAAGCAGAGCATATCAAGGTCATTCATCGACATCTTTTATTTTGGAAAATCATTAACTAAACTTTTGGACTGCTGAGTATTTTGTAAAATCTTACCTGGGGTAGCTCTAATTGCTGAAATAAGAGGACCATAAGAACCTTGAGCTGGTATGCAGCAAGTCCCTTTTCCAGCCCAAAAGAGATGGATCTCAAGATAGTTTTCTGATACACGAGCCTGAAAATCTTTTTTGACAGCACTAATAGAGCCCTTCTCTGCCTCCTTTTGTATACTAAAATCCTCCAAAACAAGATTCCCCTGGAGTGGGAAAGAAGTAGAAACAAATGAAAAGGGAGGCAAAAAGAAGTGGAATTTCAAATAGGATCACTGGGCTCCAATTATGTGTACCCAATTAATGCGGTTATTGTAAGAATAGTTTGTACATAACAAGTTCAAACAAGTCAGCTAACGATCACTTGAAATTGTGCTGCATATACTAGTCCTTGTGCTTAACCTAATTTATAGAGTAGACAGACAGGGTGCTTCACTAAGAAAGAAAGTGACTTCCATACAGACTAGTACAGTTATAAATTATAATATCTAGCAATGCCTTTAGATAAAATCACATGTACCTTTGCAACCCAAGAAAAAATAAAATGTCATATGTACCTGGATATATATATCAAAGACCCGTCTTCCAAGACTTCTCCATGAAGCAGAAGCACCTGGATTAGGTATTGATGTTTCTGTGAAAAAGAGGGAGATGTTGTAATTCCCGTTTTCCAGTCCCAGACCATAATACCTTAATGAAGAAGGAGAGAGCCGGGCTGACTGGGTTTGGTCCAAACTACCAGTGAAATCAGTAGACACCAGACTTGTGTATGGATTATTGTTGGAAAAAGTAAATACCCCAACATTGCTAACTGCCCATCTTTCTGTATCAGTAACAAAATAAGTAGCAGGACCAAGTGCCTCATTATCACTTTCATACACCATTCCATCTGATGTTGTAGTTGAATTACCACCACACTTGATTGCAAAGTCATAATCTACATAGAAACATTAACAACGGCAGTTTCAATGAATGAAGAAAGACAGTAATTAATTTGACCTAATGAACTTCTTTGAAGTTTTATTGCATGTTTCACAAAAGAGAAGCAGACTTTCATTGGTCAGTGAGGTCTGATAGTCTGTGATGACTTGGAATCCTATAGTCTCCCCACCTACTCTGAGGTTTGAACCCACATCCTCTATGTTCCCAAAGTAGCAAAGTATCGTTGTGGCACATGGTGAAGAGTAGAATAGCTATATTGACAATAGTCATAATGCTCGAATTTAATTAACTGATATAAGATGTATCAGACAACTACATTAAAAAAGAAAATAGAAAAATAGAAAACCATAGTCACAGCACTTGAATCCATTTTTCTATAACATGGTCGTGTATGATGGCTGTTCTTTTTCAGTTTTAAAGTTTAAAATATTACTTAGGACCTGTTTGGAAACTTGTTCTGAGAACAGTTTTCTGTTCTTCAGAACAAGAGAACAAAAAAATCTGTTTGGTAACGTGTTTTTAAAAAGTGTTTTGGAAAACAAAAAAACAAAATATTGTTCTGGAGAACAGAAAAATGAAAATAACTTTTAGGTGTTCTGTGATTATTGTTCTGGAAAACAAAGGAGAATGGGAAAAACACCTATTTTTATTATTTTGTTATTCTCAAAACATGTTCTACAGAACACCAGTTCTCAAAACAATAAAATAAAAACAGTTTTAAACAGCCCCTTACATATTCCAGGACCACGATTGCAAGGAAAATTTTGTTGCAAGCAGTAGAGACCTTCAGGAAGACCACTGCAAGAGAAAAGAGCATTTATTTAGATATGAATGAATTACCTTCAATTCGCTTAATGAAAATAAGTTCTCACCCCATTTAGCATGATGAGGAAATGTTATAGGTGAAAGTAATAGCTTTTGCGATGTCAAACATACAATTAATAGCATTATTGAACTGTGTATCCTTTTAATGTAAAACACACACACTCACATTGATTTGAACAGAATAGGATGAGGAAAAGAAACAGAATCAGAGAGTGAGAGGTGAAGGGGGAGCGAAAACAGAGGGGAGAGATGACAGAAAATAGAGAAAGCAGGGGAAGTGGAGAGGGACGCAGAACTGATAGATAGGGGAATAGAACAGCAATTCATTCCAACTCTCAGAACTTGCTTACATGTGCTGCATGGTGGCTTTTTATAGAAGCCACAATTAAGGTTTCCTTCTTATGAAGGAAACATAAAATGAAATAAAATATAAGCTTGAGGTTTCCTTCCCTATAAGGAAAGCTCAACTTGCAGATTTAAATAAAGAGTAAAACAAACAAAAGCAGGTCAGGTTTCCTTCCTTTAGAAGGAAACTTGCAAAATACTAAATAATGCAAAAATAATTATTTCTTTCTAAAATAACATTTGCCATATTTTCTATCAATTCTCCCCTGCTGCAAAGAACTCTCCTCCGGAGAGGTAGAGAGTTGATAGGCTTCTAGCAAGGCAGGATTAAGTTGTTGGAATTCATCTTCTGAAATCCAGGTGGCATCTTCATCAGATCGACCTCTCCAACGAACCAAATAACGACGGATGGGCCCCTCAGAGGTAAAGACCATTTGATCATCCATAATGGTCTCGATTTCATCAACTGATGGTGAGACAGCAGGCAATGATGGAATTGGCACTTGTGAAGGCTGAGTACCTGCAAAATCATCAGAAAGCAAAGGGGAAGGCTCAAAAGTTCCCCAGTAAGGCATAAGATCCTCTACATTAAAAACTGGACTAATGGCCATATCAGAAGGTAGTTCTAAAAGATAAGCATTAGGTCCTAATTTCTTTGTTATGCGAAAAGGTCCCGCAGCTCGAGCATGCAACTTTTTAAAAGCTTGTTTAGGGTAACGTTCTGGACGAATGCGAGCCATAACATAATCACCTATTTCGAAGCTTTGAAATCGACGATGAGTATTAGCAGATAATTTATATTGATCATTACTTGTTGCTAATTTGCGCCTAATTTCAGCATATAAGTCATGAAGGCGATTGGCAAAGGATTCCGCAGATTCAGAAATGCGAAATGTCAACGGGATTGGCAGGAGGTCAATAGGCTGTTTAGGATTAAAACCTTGAACAATCTGGAAGGGACTCATGCCTGTAGACCTATTCACTGAATTATTATATGCAAACTCTGCAGTGGGTAGAACCAAATCCCAGCTCTTCGGCCTGTCTCCAACTAAACTCCGAAGCAAATTACCCAAACTGCGATTAGTGACTTCAGTTTGCCCATCAGTTTGAGGGTGAAAAGCAGAAGAGAACTTCAATTGGGTACCAAAAAGTTTCCATAGGGTCTTCCAAAAGTAGCTAACAAACTTGACATCTCTATCAGATACGATAGTGGTAGGTAACCCATGTAGACGTACAATCTCCTTGAAGAACAACTTTGCCAGATGTGAAGCATCTGTAGTTTTGCTACAAGGAATAAAGTGAGCCATCTTTGAAAACCTGTCCACAACAACTAATACAGAGTCATGACCTCTAGCTGTGCGAGGCAATCCTAAGACAAAATCCATACTCAAGTCTTTCCAAGGTGCCTCGGGAATCGGCAAAGGAGTATACCAACCGGCATTCTGTCGCCTGGATTTAGAAGTTTGACAATTTCGACATTGAGACACTATGCGAGCCACATCACGCTTGAGTGAAGGCCAGTAGAACCTATCTTCGACTAATGCCATTGTCTTATTAACCCCGAAATGACCAGCTAAACCTCCAGCGTGTAACTCCCATATAAGAAAATCTCGCATAGAAGTACGTGGGATGCATAGTTTGCTCCCATGAAAGAGATGACCGTCTTTAATGATGAAATCAACATGCTCATGATGATTATCACTGCAAACTTCTTGGTATATTATCCCAAAATCTGGACATGAAGCATAGTCGTCCTTCAAGTTTTCAAAACCAACAACACTAACGCTCATAGTGTGCAACAAGTTGATCCGACGGCTCAGGGCATCAGCCACTATGTTTTCTGTTCCTGAACGATGCTTGACCACAAAAGTGAATCCCTGAATATACTCAACCCATTTAGCATGTTTAGCATTTAAGTGCCGCTGAGAGTTGATAAACCTAAGCGCTTGATGATCAGAGTATAGAACAAATTGTTGCGGAAGAAGGTAGTACTTTCAATGCTCAAGGGATCTCACAATCGCATAAAATTCCTTATCATAAGTGGAGTACTTTTGTTTGGCATTATTGAGCTTTTCGCTGAAGAAAGCCACAAGGTGACCTTCTTGGCTTAGTACACCTCCGATTCCTGTCCCAGACGCATCACAAGCAACTTCGAAACACTTTGTAAAATCAAGTAAAGACAAGACTGGAGCTTGAGAAAGCTTCTTCTTGACATCTTGGAAAGCCATGGAAGCTGTAGATGTCCATTGAAACTTGTCTTGTTTTAAGCAATCAGTGATAGGAGCCATAATGGTACTGAAGTTTGTAATGAAGCGTCTATAGAAAGAAGCAAGGCCATGAAAACTCCGTACTTCATGAAGAGATTGTGGCTCAGGCCATTCTTGAATGGCTTGGACTTTCTCAGGGTCAGCTGCTAAATCCCTTTCAGAAACTATGAAACCTAAGAAAATGACTTGATTTTGAAGAAATGAATACTTAGGCAAGTTAACATAAAACTGTTCTTGACGCAAGCTGAGAAAAATTAACTCGAGATGTCCTAAGTGTTCTTTTCTTGACTTGCTAAAAACTAGTATGTCATCAAAGTATACCACCAAAAACTTTCCCAAGTAAGAGCGAAGGAGGTGAGTCATTACTCTCATAAATGTACTTGGTGCATTTGATAACCCAAAAGGCATGACAAGCCATTCAAACAACCCATCTTGCGTTTTAAAAGCAGTCTTCCACTCATCTCCAGGCCTAATCCTAATCTGATGATAACCACATCTGAGGTCAATCTTTGAAAACCAGCTAGATCCAGACACTAAATCAAGCATGTCATCAAGTCTAGGAATGGGAAACCTATACTTGATGGTGATCTTGTTGATGTCTCTGCTGTCTACACACATTCTCCAAGAGCCGTCTTTCTTTGGGGTTAAAAGAGCAAGTACTACACAAGGACTCATACTATGCTGGATATAACCCTTTTCCAACAATCCACTGACTTGTCGGTTAAGCTCTACTCTATCTTTAGGGTTCATCCTGTAGTGCGTTAGATTGGGGAGTTGTGAACCTGGAATGAAATCAATTGCATGTTGGATCTCTCTCATTGGTGGTAATTCAGATGGAAGCTCATTGGGAGTGATATCTCGAAATTGTTGTAAGAGCTGTTGCACTTCCTCTGGCATTTTTGAAGTAGTAGCAATTCGTTGCGAGATCTTGGATGCCAAAATAAACACGATCGTACTCTCTCTGCTTTCTTGTACAAATTGTTTTTCTGTCAGAAGATGCAAATTGTGGGTTTTGGGTTTTGTGCCCTTTGATTTACTTGAGCCTTTGCCTTCGTTGTCAGGCTTAGCAGGACGTAACAGGATCGTCTTGCCTCCATGCTTAAATGTATAGGTATTCTCACGACCATGATTGATAACATTGTGGTCATAAAGCCACGGTCGGCCAAGTAAAATGTGAGCAACATCCATTGGAAGAACATCACAAATAATCTCTTCTTTATAGTCCACCTAAGTGAAGAGGAACGCGACATTGTTGCGTGACTGGTAAAGAAGTTTTGTCGACCCATGCAACACGAAAAGGTTTTGGGTGATGCTCTGTCTTGAGATTGAGTCAGGCTACGCCTTGACTAGAAATAACGTTTCTAGAACTCCCTCCATCAATCACCAATTTGCAAGCTTTATCTCCACACTTCACAAAAGTATGGAAAATACTTGTTCGCTTCCATGAATCACTAGGCAGAGGGACAGATAGAATGCATCGCATAACTCCAACTCGACGTGTCTCAATGTCGAAATTGTCAAACTTCTAAATCCAGGCGACAGAATGCCGGTTGGTATACTCCTTTGCCGATTCCCGAGGCACCTTGGAAAGACTTGAGTATGGATTTTGTCTTAGGATTGCCTCGCACAGCTAGAGGTCATGACTCTGTATTAGTTGTTGTGGACAGGTTTTCAAAGATGGCTCACTTTATTCCTTGTAGCAAAACTACAGATGCTTCACATCTGGCAAAGTTGTTCTTCAAGGAGATTGTACGTCTACATGGGTTACCTACCACTATCGTATCTGATAGAGATGTCAAGTTTGTTAGCTACTTTTGGAAGACCCTATGGAAACTTTTTGGTACCCAATTGAAGTTCTCTTCTGCTTTTCACCCTCAAACTGATGGGCAAACTGAAGTCACTAATCGCAGTTTGGGTAATTTGCTTCGGAGTTTAGTTGGAGACAGGCCGAAGAGCTGGGATTTGGTTCTACCCACTGCAGAGTTTGCATATAATAATTCAGTGAATAGGTCTACAGGCATGAGTCCCTTCCAGATTGTTCAAGGTTTTAATCCTAAACAGCCTATTGACCTCCTGCCAATCCCGTTGACATTTCGCATTTCTGAATCTGCGGAATCCTTTGCCAATCGCCTTCATGACTTATATGCTGAAATTAGGCGCAAATTAGCAACAAGTAATGATCAATATAAATTATCTGCTAATACTCATCGTCGATTTCAAAGCTTCGAAATAGGTGATTATGTTATGGCTCGCATTCGTCCAGAACGTTACCCTAAACAAGCTTTTAAAAAGTTGCATGCTCGAGCTGCGGGACCTTTTCGCATAACAAAGAAATTAGGACCTAATGCTTATCTTTTAGAA